TTTTCCAAAAGCGTAAAACTGACCAAGTTCAGTTTAGACCCTTAATTAATTCACTAAAACGAATTTAATTAATTGGATAAGGAAAGGACTGAAATACCCTTCAAAAATCCGGATTGGACATTTCCTTATTTGAACAACCCAACTTTCAAAGGGTATAACTTACTCATACGAACTCGGAATCGCACAAACTTAGCGGCGTTGGAAATATTATTCCAAGAGATTTCCAACCATATTTGGAAGCACACCTAACTCATTCTGAGCTAGGAGTTATGGCTGTTTGAAGTTGACCACAAACTCACTTTTCCTAACTTAAACAAATTTCCAGATTTTCATTCTTTCCAAAAATGACTACTTCAAATTTTTAGCTTATTTCTAGTTATTTCAAATTGCGAGATGTTACAATTGAAGAGAAGTTCTCCAATTCAACAACAATGACAAGAAGAAGAAAAACAAGAGTCTACAACTTTGAATTACTGGAGAATGTTGGAAATAATAATTCGAAGTTGGAGTAGAAATTCTAAGTTGTTTAGGATTTGTTATTTATGATATTTACTTAGTTATGTTTAATTAAGATTTGTTAGTTAGAGTGATTCCTAATCCTAGTTTAATTTGGTTTTCACCTTTATAAATAGGGATGTTACTAGTTATTTTCAATATACAAAAATATACAGAATAGATAGAACTTGAATTAAGATTCAAGAAACTTTGAGTTTATAAATAAAAGATTTTCCTTCAATGTCCAAAAACAACGAAAAATGACAAATAGATTTTTTCTTTCTATAAAAAGAATAAACCTAAGAAAAAAATATATATGTTATTATTGTTGTTGTAAATTAAACAGTGATAGGAAAGAAATGTAGTGAAGGACAATATATCGATGGGTCTCAATTAGATTTAATTGCTTGGAAAGAGATATCTAGGCATCTTCTACCATATTCTCTATTTTACTCTCCAAATATAGAGTTTACTATTTTTTCAGACAACCAACTTTAACCCAATTCTCTATTTATTTTCTAAAAAAGAATTGTATTCTCTCTCCTCAATATTATATTATTATTTCTATTTCATTCTTATTTTATTATTTTTAATATGAATCATTTCTTTCTTTTCCCCAAACACTTAGATTTGATTGGTTCCTTCCCCAAACACTTAGATTCGAATAAATAACCAAGATATGCAAGAATATACTCAAAACAACATCAACTTTCATGAATCTAACTCTAGAACTTCTCAACAACTTCAAAAATCAAGAACCCAATAGAAACTTCAACACAATCCATCAAGAACTCAATTTATATACTTTCAAGAACATCATTTCGCTGAATTAAATCATGATTGACACGTGGGTGAACTAACCCAATGCTATGTGATCTCAAATACCTCATAGGGATCAACCCTTGGCAAAATCCACAAGCTTAACTTCAAGAACGCGATGAATCCTTGCTTCTTCTCCTCTTTTCTCCTCTTCTTTTCTCTTCTCTCAAAACCTTAGCTTAATTTTATGAAGCGTAAACTGAACCAATTCAGTTTATACCCAAACTTAATTACCAAAAACGAATTTAATTAATTGGATAGTGAAAAGATCATAATACCCTTCTAAAATCCGGTTTTGTCTTTCTTTATCTGGACAACCCAACTTCAAATGGGCATATCTCCCTCATATGAACTTGAAATTGAGCAAACTCAGTGGCGTTGGAAAGATAATTCGAAGAACTTTCCTACGGTATCTTTTAGCACACCTAACTCATCTTGTTCTAGGAGTTATGGTCGTTTGAAGTTGACCCAAAACTTATACTTAGCTTGATTTGCCAAAAATTTCAAATTTGATTATTTCCAAAATTGATTTCTTTCTAATTCTAGTTCTTTCAAAAAGCGGGGTGTTACAATATTATTGAATTATTTTATAGGAAATGCAGAAATTAACAATATTAATTTTTATCATTTACATTATATTCATTAAATAAAATCCATAACAGTGGAATGTTGCATTTTTTATCAAGCAAGAAATATGTGAAGCTAATTAAGATAATATAACATGTAATGATTTGAATATGTCGATATAACTTATCCTCAATAATCTCTCATTACGCGCTTTACACGTAGATTTTATATCCAATTTGAAAACATAAAAAGAATTTTTTAAAAGTAAATATAAAAATCATTTACAAAGGAACCACTTTACATGAAATAATACCAAAATTTGAATTCTTGAAACATTTCCAAACATATTCGGGTGATATGTATCCTTCATCTACATCAATTCGAATAAAAACTATTAGTGTGTAAAAAAGTATATATCTTTATTTCATTCTAATCCATACATAGTGATAAAAATCTATTGCCTTCCAAACATTCATTCTCTATCTATCAATATTATCACATATGATGACGTCTTTGATACAAATGCGAACACTAATGCTACTATCCCTAATAGTTCTCGAAAGACCAATGCTATTTTTTTTCTTTTGTACCTAGAAGATCTACCATAAAGGAATCAAAAAAGTAAAAACAAAGAAAGAGAAATGAAAAAAAATGGTTCTTCATCGGAGAGAATTTGGCATATTGGAGCCAAATGTTCAAATGAGATTTGCAAATTAAGTGCTCTTCTATGTGACTTTAAATAAGGGGCCTTAGGTAAGAGAAGTTGAAGTGAATCAACGTATTAAAGCTAAGAAGTTGAAGAAAATCAAATTATTAAAGATATTTTAGCCAAAAAAAAAAAAGTCTCATCAAATCCATACTTAATTGTTGGGAGTATCCTTGGTCTTCATCAGTTATAATTGAAGGCTTGAAGCAGCTAGCATCGTGCCAGCAAAGAAGAGTCTATAGGCTTAATCATAATTGTGAGAACTAATGTAGAATATATAGTTGATCTATAATTATTATTTAAAAAAAAAAGAATAAAATATTTTTTTTTTAAAAGGGTGAAAGGGTAATTCAACTTTTGACTTGAGTTCTTCCCACTTTTAGTAATACTAGTTTCTGGATATGTGTGCTGCACGTCTGTTCCGTGAGAATTTTCATAGATTTGTTGGAATAATTAAAATTCTATGAAAACATGTAGTGAGTAATAAAATGCAATCATTACTAATATATCTTTAAAATATGACAAAAAGTACCAAATAAGGAGTGTATTTTAATGTTTAAAATCACGTTTTTTTAAGCAAGCAACTGTAAGTTTTGAATTTTGGTTAGTAGTTAACAAACTTTCAATAAAGCCACAAATGACTAATCAATCAGAAATTCATAGTAAATTAAATTTAAAAAGTCTAATAGATAAAAAACACAAAAATACGATGTACTCATCTTTCTTAAGACTTTAATCATACAATATAGATGTTAACAGAAATACAAAAATAGTATTACATAATTTTTTGAGTTCTTGTCGACTCATTCTATCATAGCCAATCAAAATTCAAGATCCTTCTTTGTCGAGTCACACTAAAGAATGAATCAATAGAACAAAAATTATATAAATGTTTCACTACTTTAACTATAGAGTGAATAGGATACCTAAGGATCTCATGAAACAAAGAAGATGATTTACATAAATAAAATTGGAGGAACACCAAAAGTTATCTTCAAATCTTAAATTAAATATTTAGAGGTTGTGAATATGAAAAGTATGAGAGATATAGATATATATTAATAGTAGCAATTGAATAGGTAATTAGATATGAGATATGAAGGTCGATATTTAAAGCATATAAAAGAGAAAAACAATAAATAAATGAAAGGGTATAAGTTTCATAAAAGCAAAACTTAAAAAAAAAATAACAAATATATAATATAAGATGTATAAAAAAATTTGAAAAAAATATTCAAATGTGTTAATTAAGCTTAAGAAACATTTCAAGAAGAAAATAAAAATATGTATGCAATAACCATCATAAATGTATATGTAACTACCAAGAAATGTGGGGTTTTGGTTATTAAAATTTCGTAGGTTGTAGTTATTAGAAAATGTTCTATTAATGAAGCAAAGAAATTAGGGGGTTTAGGTTATTAGAATTTGGGAGTTGTAGTTATTTCTAAGTGTTAATGCAACCAAGAAATGAGGGGTTTTGGTTATTGAAATTTAGGGCTAGTGTATATTTCAACGTGTAAAATTAATCTAAATTTGTAATCCATTTAATGCATTAAGATGAATGTATGTTACTTCATGAAAACATTAATGTCTTTCTAATTCACCATCATTTACTATGATGTAGAAGTTATGAAAATGAAAAGGTGTGAATTATGGACTTTATCTATTAAATAAAGTAATTAGAAATAAGAAATACTTTAAAGTAGATTATTAAAATGCCTACTCTCCAATTTTGCTGCCTCCCATTGGAATAGTTCCATCAACATTCAATTTCAGATACAGAGAGGTTGCATGATACCACTTACACTTTGTTTTGGATGGTTGTTACGTGCCATTAATTATTTGAAAAAAGAATAAATATATTTTCGAACTATCACAATGATATGTCAATATCAAATAGGTTTTGAAATTATAACATTTGTCCTTACAAGTTACAACCATTAAAGTTGATTGTGAAGTTTTACTTACTTCGGAAAAGGTCAAGGGGGCCTAATTTGATGACCAAATTGGATATGAAACTAAAAGATCAATCAAAATTTAGCTAACATAATGAAGAATGAAACAATTCCAAAAATATAAATATTAATGAAAAAGGATATCATATAGCTAAATGTTTTATTTATTTCACATATCTATGGATCATTGTTTACAAGTCACAAATATGAAAAATACAGATACATGCAAAAAAAAAAAAAAACTTACTCTATTATACAATAGACGCTATTGCCTTATTATTCATCACCTTAAATATGCTATTAATTACCTTAAATAAAATTCAAAGTTCTTTATGTCTATGTCTTTATTTAGAGAGACCAAATGGAGTAGCAATTAAATAAAGATCATTCTTTCTCCTGGCTGTTAATCCTTCTGTTTCAATCGTGTCCAAATCATTTGGATTAACTCCATGAGGGACCTTCCAATCAAAGTGATAAAGTAATTGGGATAAAGGATGTGCAACATTAACTAAACCAAATAACATTCCGGGACACATTCTTCTTCCTGCACCAAACAGAATAAATTCAAAGTGACTTCCTCTAAAGTCAATACTACTATTCTCAAATCTCTCAGGTATAAAGCTTTCCGAATTATGCCAGTATTTGGGATCTCTACCAATTGACCATGCATTAACCAGAACTTTGGTTTTCACAGGTATTGTGTATCCATTGATCTTTGTTTCCTCTCTACATTCCCTTGGGACTAGTAGAGGAACCGGAGGGTGTAGCCTTAATGTTTCTTTGATAACAAATTGCAAGTAATTCAACTCTTCCAAATCAGTATCATTAAATGTTTTTTTCCCATTTAATCGTTCTCTCACTTCGAGTTGTGCTTTCTCCATGACACGTGGATTTTTCATTAGTTCTAAAAATGCCCAAATTATTGTTGTAGAAGCTGTTTCAGTTCCAGCTAGAAACATGTCCTACATGTAAAATTAAAGGTGTAAATATCGAAGTTTAGATTTATAACACGAAATAAAATTACTTTAATGATGCACTATACTTACAAGTATGACTGCTTTAATGTTTTGATTTGTGATAGGAGGTGCAAATTCTTCGCTCTCCATTACTCTAAGTAAAGCATCAACAAAATCTTCATTTCCAGACTCACCATTAAATTTCTTACCTTTTACTCGATTATCTCGATGATCATTAACGATTTTCTCCAAGATTTCATCAACCTTTGAGTGTGCCTTTGACAATTTGGATTTCATTCCACTGATATTATGAAGCCACTTTTGGGAAGGGAATAAATCAGTTAAGTCGAATCCTCCAATTAATGAATAAATATCTTTTACCAACATTATAAACTTATTTCGATCATGTATGATTTTTCCAGATACTGACCTACAAGTTACAGTATTCGTAAACCAAAAAATCTTGTTGGATAAGTTGATCAATGAGTCAGGTGTACTGGAACGTAGAGATGAAATGAGATTTGATATCTCTTCTTGTCGAATTGAAGCTAATGATTTGACCATTTTTGTACTAAGAAGTTCTAGGACACAAACCTTTCACATATTTCTCCAGTAATCTTCATATGGACTACAGGCTATGTCCGTGCAATCATAAAATATGATACTCGCGGACATAATTTGTGGCCTATCTACAAAATAGAGGTCTTGAGTTTTCATGATTTCTTTTGCCATTTCTGATGACGATACAACAATTGTTGAAATATACCCAAGACGTAAGTGCATGATCGGGCCATATTTTTTCGATAGATTTCTAAGTGAACGATGTGGTAGATCGCTCATTAATTGATGCAAGTTTCCTATAAAAGGTAGTCTCCATGGTCCAGGAGGCAAATTTTTGTTTGGAGATTTTGATTTCTTCCATTTTTGAGATAGAAGAAAGAAAGAGTAGAGGAAGAGCACTATTGAGATAAAGATAATGAAGGACAAGTGCCGACTCTCCATTTTGGAAGGAAAAGAAAACATGTTAATGTTATATTCTATCTTTGTACATCTATCAAATATATAAAAAATCAAATGAAATGATATCTTTCATGTTTCATACTTCATTCGTTCCTATTTATATGTCGTCCTTACTAAATAGATGATCTTTAATAGTTGTGATTTCACAAAATCAATGTATAAATGGCCCTATTCTTCCTATTTTACCCTTGTGAGTTATTAGCCTTAAAAATATATATTTGACCAACATAGAAAAACTAAGAAAATATATAATTCATGTTCATTGGTCAAATTAATTAATTAAAATAAATTAAGAGGCCGTTTGGATTGACTTAAAAAAAGTAACTTTTAAAAAGTAATTTTTTAAAGTGCTGGAACCTATTTTTAAAATAAGTAGTTATGTGTTTGGATAAAAGTGTTGCAGTTGAAAAAAAAGTTGTTGATGTGTTTGGCAAATAAGTGCTGGTAAACACTTTTTTTATCAAAATGTCTGAAATACCCTTTAAATTGTTAACATGATGAAAAGTTGATTAATTTAAGGTTTTTATACTTTAAAAAAAATTAAAACAAAATTAATTTATATTTTACATCCATAAGTAATAATATTTTCCTATCATTCACATATTTCTTTACCACCACAAATTATTTATAAGAGGAATAATAATAATAATAATAATAATAATAATAATAATAATAATAATAATAATAATAATAATAATAATAATAATAATAATAATAATAATAATAATATAATAAAATATTATTAATAATAATGATAATAATAAAATAATAATAATAATAAAATAATAATAATAATAATAAAATAATAATAATAAAATAATGATAATAAAATAATAATAATAATTAAAAAAATAAAAATAATAAAAATAATTAAAAAATAATAATAATAATAAAATAATAATAATAATTTAAAAAATACAATAATAATAATAATAATAATAATTCAATATGGGCAATTTGGAAATTGTATAAAAGAATTAAGGGCAAAAAGGTAATATACTTGGTCAACATAAAAAGGCTTTTAAGTTAAAAAAAAAAAAAAGCTCCCCTCACCTAGCTTTTAGCTTTTGGCATAAAATAAGTCATTTTTTACTTAAAATAAGTTACTTTGATAATTGTCAAACACTCTAATAAGTCAAAAACTGGCTTTTAATCCAATTTGACCAGCTTAAAAGCCCATCCAAATAGGCTCTAATTCATGTTCATTGATTGAAAACTGAGTAATTTCCCTAGATAGTCACACATGTTTAAGAAATTACCTAATAATATCACCAAACTTTATATATTTTCCTCAAAATATACTTGACGTCACGAAACATCTTTCTCTCCTAATGAATGCCATGTCCCATTATTCCTTTTTTTTTTAAATAGAAACTTGAGGAGTTATTAAGGGAAATGATTGAAAATTGATTAATCATAAAATTACATATATAATGACATTTGCTTTGTAACGCCAATTACGCAAAATATAAAGTGTTTTGGACATTAGTTAGCTAGAGAAAACATTTTGATGTGACCCTGCAATACGATGGGGCCATTAGTTTAGGGTGTATTTTGTAGGGAGGAATTATTTTTTTTCATATTTAATATTTTGAAAATATTTTCTCCGCCCTAATAAGTTCTATAAAAATAAAATTAATAGTACTAAAAATTGTCTTTACATTGGATGGTTAGGTATTTTGATGTTCTTTAAAATAACATTTTCAGCACATTTATATTATTTTTTAATTATATAGAAAATGTTAACTCCTTAGAATCGGTTGGTTTTGATAAAAGACATTTAACATTATACTCACAATCCTCGCAGGCATTGAAATAAAAAAGGAAGTATCTATGTAGACAACACCAAGATGGAAAAGAATATTTGATTATACCAAGATGGAAAATAATATTATGCAAACAACACCAAGATAGAAAAGAATATTTGATTACACCAAGATGGAAAATAATATTTGACTGACTTAATAGAAAGGACAACATCTATCTAGGAAGTTAGAATCAACATACAGATGGGCTAAATCCAGCATACAACTCACCTTGATTGACAGACGAAATCAAACTATCCATATAAGGAAGAGATGCAATTTAAGTCAAAGATCCAAGATATACTGATCAGACAAGGAAAGAAATCAAGCCAGCCAAGTTGAGCAAGATGGAGCAGCAAATTACGCCAAGGACTCAAGATCTGCTAATCAAATCACGCTAGCAAAATCGAGAAGGATAATAAGCGATTTACCATGCACATATATGATATGGACATGGATCAGCAAATCACCTTAATCAAGGAATATCTCAATTATCCTTAATTGAGATAAAAATCCCTCGGGTTATTCCTTAACAAGAGCAGTCTTCAGCTACTATATAATCCTCACCTAAGCCTCAGTTGTGATGCACGCACTTCACTTGAACTTATATTGTAATCTTCTTTTATCTTTCATAAAAAATTGTACACCCTTGAGTTAATAATTGAAAAGAAAAGAGAAAGAAAGATCTGAGTGTAGGTTATACAGGTAGAGGTTGTGTCGAAGAAGAAGATCTGGTTTGCATATCAGACGGGACTCTTAATTGTAACATTCTGTAACACCGAAGTTCTCAACAAGCTCTTAAGGAAACCCTTGTAACCTAAGGGAACTGGACTAGGCACCACATCAGTGATCCGAACCAGTATATACTTACTGCAAGTTATTATTACTGTTTATTTGTTTTACTAACGTGCAGGTGAGTCGACTGACCAAATTAGAAAGTCGACTGAAGGGAATTTTAATTCACCCCCCCTCTTGACTTTCAATTGGTATCAGAGCAGGTCTCACTACTTCAGTGTTTAACCACACGTGAGCAAAGATCCAATGGCACACTATCAAATTCCTGGCGCATTACTTCAAGACGTACATTCTTCACACCAACCACCATACTTTAATGGACAACATTACTCTCACTGGAAAAACAGATTCAAAATCTTTGTCTTCAAATGATCATCAAGCATGGATAGTTATCAAGAAGGGCTCGAAGCCTATTCCTGGATTGACTGAAAAAGATGGCACTGAAAAACCATTTGATCCTAAATCATTTGATATCACTAAGGAACAACAAGAGGTAATTCAAATTAATGCTAGAGCTATAAGTTTGTTATATTGTGCAGTGAGTGGAGCAGAATATGACAAAATATCAATATGTGAAACTGCGAAAGAAATGTGGGACAAACTAGAAGTGACTTATGAAGGAATAACTAAAGTAAATGAAGCTCGGATCAGTTCACTTACATTGAATATGAGTTGTTCAAAATGGCCGAAGATGAAAATGTTGAAACCATGTTCTCGAGATTCAGTAAAATTGTCTGCGAACTCATCACTTGGAATGGTGTATTCAAATGCACTACAAGTCAGAAAACTCCTTAGAAGTCTTCCCAAGGCTTGGGAAACTAAAACTGCTATTCTTGAAGACGAAGATCTGCAGAAAATGAACTTCGAGGCAACCTAATGGCCTATGAACAGAATCATATTAACAAGTACAACAAGGATGATAAAAAGAAGACTGTGGCATTTACGGTTAAGACATCTGACATTGGAGAGGAAGTCAATGAATATCAAAGCGAATGAATGGCTCTCATAAATAGAGGAGTCAAACAAATGCTTAGACAAAGAAGACAGAGACCTCAACAGGAATTCAATAACAATGAATTCAAAAGAAATGATGATCGTTGCTACTATTGTGGAAAACTAGGACATATCAAACAAAACTGTCCAGAACGAAAAAGGAGAAATAATCGAAGAAATGACGATCCAAAAAATGTCGAAGCTTGGAGTCAAGGAGAAACATCTGAAGATGATCATGATGAAACCGCCAACATATGCTTCATGGCACTAGGTGAAACAAGTAAGGTAAGATCTTTCAATTGCCCAAACTGTAATAACTTACAAGAATCTTTGGATATGGTTACTGACGAACTGCAGAAAATCATTGATGAATACAATAAGATTGCTCAAGAAAAGAAAGGTTGGCAAATTCTTCTCGAAGCAAGACAGGTTGAAGTCGACTTACTAGAAGAAAACACGGAGGAAGTAAAAATGCAGTTGAACAATATCAGAAAATCTTCTAGTCATATCTCTGTCAGATCCAAAAGATCTACTCTCAATTACAGGAGAAGATCTCATAATCATAGTTCCAACAAATCTATATCTAATTCTCCTTA